TAATCTCCTATGATACTGATGGTGTTGGATGCATCAGCAGCCCAAGTAATGGGTCGTTGATTCAGAACTTGGCGGAGTGTGAAGTGATGCTCTCCAGGGTCATCCCTATTTACAAAGTATTCAAACACACCTGTCTGATCAGCAAAATTCGGAGCTTCACTAAAAGGTGGGTCATCTGTTCAGAAGACAATAAATTTTCCACTTAGTATCAAGCCTTTAGAGAACCTCTCCTCTCTGATATTTCATGGCACATTTTGAAACACTTTTGAAAAATTTTAAAAAATAATACTTACAACCAGTCAACATGTAGGATTTATTGCTAATAAAGAGATGCATAGTGACTTTTACATCATCATTATTAAGTATCAGTATGATGAGTCTGATATATAGGCTTTGCATATTTAATCCATGCATTTGGTTAAGCAGAAAGATGAGTTTTGGAGTAAGGCACACCTGGGTTCAAATTCTAGTTCAGTCTGTTACCCTGGGCAAGTTACTTACTGCCCTGAGTCTGAAGGTTCCTCTTTTCTAACTGGGCAAAGGGACAGGAAGATTAAATAATACAATGTATATACAGTGTGTATATACATTAGAATCTAGCAAGAGCTAAATAAAGCATAGTTTTGTTTTTCTGTTATCTGTCAAACCAGGTTCTAAATCACTGGTTACACTCAGCACTCAAACATTAGAAAAGGCTTACTATATCAAGTGTGAAATTTACACATTTTCTACTTCTAAAATGAAGCAAAAACAAGTTTGGGGCCTAAGCTATCTGTCAATACCTTTTTAGTTTTATTAAATTATAGTCTTACAATGATGACGGTTATAGAACAGAAATTTTAATCATAATATCTTACAGCTATTTCACACTTCATGCTTTCCCAAGTGTCTTCACATTCATTATCTCATTTGAGATATTAATAACTCTACTGAGTAACTTCAAAGTCTGGCTTTAATTTTTAACTTTTATTATTAATTCAGCATTACATTTTAGATTTGAAGGTTTAGAATTGCTTTTCAGTCTTTACAGTCACAGAACAAACAGTTTTGATGTTGACAAAAGCTCTTCAACATCATTCCAACCAAAAACCAAACCTGTTGCCGACGAGTTGATTCCAACTCACAGCAACGCTATAGGACAGAGTAGAACTGCCCCACAGGGTTTCCAAGGAGCAACTGGTTAATTCGAATTGCCTTAGCAGCCTGACCTCTTAACCACTGCACCACCAGGGCTCTTCAACCTCACTAACTAGCCCATATTCTACACAAATTCTTCAACTACTTAAGGCAAAAAAAAGTTACTTTTGTCAACAGAGAACTGAGCAACGGATGTGCTAAGATACTCATGGCTCGCAAAATTAAAGGACTCGTCTAATAGATGTCTTCAGGGAGTTGCTGGAAAACAAACCACCAAGCTCCCCTGAGGGTCACAGTTGTTTGTATTGTCCAAATAACTGAAGGGACTCAAGGACACAATCCAAAGGGCCTTGTACTCCAATCGACCAAGGAGATCATTTCCTAGGAAAGGGAGCTGAGATCCTGCAAAAGTGACCAGGAGTGGGTGGTAGGAGTCTCCATCATTGGCGGAACAAGCAACTCTTTAGCAACAGGAGGTTCGTGTTGCTCTTGTGCAATGCCAGTCTTACTCCCTAATACGATCTTACAGCTTCAGATTTTAGGAGCAGATCAAAGAGCCACCTGACCCTGTCTGTGAGGCCC